GTAACTATATTGAATAATGCTTCTAATGGTGGAATTGACAAGATGAAGGTTAATAAGTTGTATAACTTATATAAAGACATTGCTTCTAGCACTATGCAACAATCCTATAAGAGGAGACATGCTATGGGAGGTTCACAAGAATCTAGCTCTTCTAAGGAGCTTATTTCTTAATTAGAGGTGATAAATTGAAGATTTAATAGTCTTGAGCTTCAAATGAAAAGGGGAAGTTCATGTGGAGTAAATGCATTACAAGCTTCATCTCAAGCTTATGAGCATTGTGGTAAAGGACATGTGACTCATCATTGCCCCTACACTCTTGAAACAGTGAGCTACATGAATAATGCACGGAGATCTCCTCAACACAATCTTTACTCATAGACTTATAATTCAGGGTGGATAAATCACCCAAACTTCTTATGGAGTCAAAAATAGACTCTAAATCTAACTTTATCCTCTGGACCTAGATTGATTATTCCTCCTACTTCGAAAGTACCACAAAAACCAAGAAAAGGTGATTCTAAAATGGAGCAAATATTAGCTCAAATTTTAAAGAATCAATAGGCAGATCGAGCTAAGAATAAAGCTACTCTAGCTTTGCATGATACAACCATTAAGAGCCTTAAAGTGCAAATGGGCCAAGTTGTTGCACAGTTGAATGCCTTGAATAAAGAAGGCTTACCAAGTGACACCATCCCTAATCCAAAGAGGGAAGATAAAGAAGAATGGAATGCTATACACTTTAGAAGCGGTAAGACTCTACCAAATGTGATAGACCCAAGAGTGACTAGTCACAGCGGGGCTAATTTTAATAATAGCGAGGAGGTGGATGAAGAAATAGTATGGGAAGATGACGACATCAAGAAATGAAAAAGGGATAAGAAGAAAAAGGGGCAATGAGTTTTAGCTCCTTATGATGAAGAAGAAAAGGAACATACAGAGGTTGAATTGAAGAAAGAAGAAAAGAAGAGAAAATCAATTGTTTCTTCTACTATAACACCCCCACTTCCATTCCTTCAAAGATTTAAGGTAAAGAAGGAAGATGCTCAATTTAAAAAGTTTCTAACCATATTTAAGCAGCTTCAAATTAACATCCCTTTTTGCTGAAGCAATCGAGCAAATACCTAAATATGCTAAGTTCTTGAAAGATGTCTTATCTCAAAAGAGGTGGTTTACTGAATTTAAAATTGTTGCATTGACTGAAGATTACAGTGCCATCATAAAAAGAAGGGTTCTACCCAAGCTAAAAGATCCGGGTAGCTTTTACATCCCATGCAATATTGGGAAGTATTTTGATAGGAAGGCCTTATGTGACTTGGGCGCAAGTGTAAATCTCATGCCTTGGCCATTTTTAACAAGTTGGGCTTGAGAGAGGCAAGACTGACAATAGTAATGCTCCTTCTCGCTAATTGAAGCATTTTCTATCCTAGAGGGATTATTGAAGATATGTTAGTAAAGGTAGATCGGTTTATCTTTCTAGTAAACTTTATTGTCCTAGATTGTGATGTTGATTTGGAAATTCCTATCATTTTTGAGAGACCATTCCTAGGCACTACCCAAACCATCATTGATGTCGAAAAGGGTGAGATTATACTAAGATTAAATGAAGAAAAAGTAGTGTTTAACATGAGCAAGGTAATGAAGTTTCCGGATGAATCTCCTAAATGTTGTTACATGGGAATTCTTGATGAGGTGATACATGAAGACTTCAATGGTCGCTTAGCTGAAGACCCTTTGGAAGCTTTAATACTGGGGTAGAAGAACATTATGGAAATAAAGGAAGAAGATTACATGGGGATATTTGATGTGGATCCTTTTCCACCCAAGCAGTTTAGTCCAGTAGAGCCTTTTGATGTATTGACTACTCTTGCATCTCTACTCAAGCCCTCCATTGAGGAACTCCAATACTTGAATTGAAGCTACTACCTCCACATCTCAAGTATGTCTATCTTTGGGAGGAAAATTTATTGCTAGTAATTGTGTCATCTATCCTAATCGATTTGCAAGAAGAAAAATTGTTGAGAGTCTTGAGAGAGTATAAAAAGGCTATTAGATAGACCATAACCAACATCAAGGGCATAAGCCCTTCTCTATATATGCACAAGATTTTTTTAAATGATGAGCAAAAGACTTTGATTGAGTATCAAAGAAGATTGAATCCGGTAAGGAAGTGGTGAAAAAGGAAATTTTGAAGTGGCTTTCTGCTGGGATTGTCTATCCCATTTCTAATAGTTCTTGGGTGAGCCTAGTTTAATGTGTCCCCAAAAAGGGCGGTATGACTGCAATGGCTAATATCCACAATGAGTTGATCCCTACTCATACTATAATAAGGTGGAAGGTGTGTATGGATTATCAAAAATTGAATGCAAGCAAACAAAAAGATCATTTTCCTCTACCTTTCATTGATCAACTGTTGGATAAACTTATTGATCAAGAATTCTTCTATTTCTTAGATAGATATTTTGGCTATAATTAAATTGTTATTGCTTTAGAGGATCAAGAGAAGACCACCTTTACTTGCCCATATGAGACTTTTGCATTTAAGCATATACCCTTTGGCTTGTGCAATGCTCTAATGACATTTTAATGTTGTATGATGTCCATTTTTTCTGACATGATTAAGAGGACTATTGAGGTATTCATGGATAATTTTTCTATCTTTGGTTCTTCATTTGATGTTGTTTAGACAATTTGAAAGTGGTTTTGCAAAGATATAAAGAGACCAATTTGATCTTGAATTAGGAAAAAGGCTACTTTATGGTGCATGAAGGCATTATTCTTGGCCATTGGGTGTCAAAAAAGGGTCTTAAAGTGGATAAAGTCAAGATATCAGTGATTGAGCAACTACCTTTGCCATCATATGTCAAGTGAATTAGAAGTTTTCTTAGATATGCGGGATTCTATCGCCGGTTCATTAAGGATTTTTCAAAAATAGCCAAGCTGTTATGTAATTTACTTGAGAAGGAAGTTGAATTTAAGTTCAATGAGAAATTCCTGAAAGCCTTTGAAGAGTTGGAAAAGAGGCTTATCTCTACGCCAATTCTTGTAGCTTCAAATTGGAATTTACCTTTTATCATCATGCGTGATACTAGTGACTATGTGGTTGGCGCAGTGCTTAAGCAAAAGAAGGATAAAGTGTTACATCTTATCTACTATGCTAGTCGAACGCTTGATAGTGCTCAGCTTATCCAGAAAAGGAGTTGTTAGAGGTGGTCTTTGCATGTAAGAAATTTTAGGCTTACATTGTGGGCACTAGGGTGACTATTTACAAAGATCACTCAACTTTGAAGTATCTTTTTAGTAAGAAGGACTCAAAGGCTAGTCTAATTCGATGGGTATTATTGCTATAAGAGTTTGATTTAAAGATTGTTGACCAAAAGGGAATTGAAAAATTAACTGGCAGATCACTTGTCATGGTTAAGTACTGATGCTCAATGAGAATCTAACGAAGGAATCAATGAAGAATTTTTGGATGAGCAACTTTTTGCTATGAAGTGCAATGAGGCACGTTGATATGCTGATTTTGTAAATTACTTGGTGTGCTATGCTCTTCCTCATGACCTCAAACCATATTAAAAGAAGAAATTCTTATCTAAAGTGAGCCATTATGTGTGGGATGAGCCTCATCTATTCCGACAATGTTGTGATCATTTGATAAGGCGATGCGTGCCGAGGTATGAGCGATATGACAGACTTCATAGCTGTCACTCTTTTGAGTATGGAGGTTATTTTGGAGGAGAGAAGACTGCACATAAGGTCCTTCAAAGTGGTTTTTATTGGCCAACCTTGTTTAAAGATGCTTATGCTTTTATGCTCCAATATGACTGATGTTAAAGAATTGGTAATATCTCAAGGAGGAATGAAATGCCTCTTAAAAACGTGATAAAGGTGCAACTATTTGATATTTGGGGGATAGATTTCATGAGACCATTTTCTAAGTCATTTAGTAATGAATATATCTTGGTAGCTATTGATTATGTCTTTAAGTGGGTGAAAGTTGTTGCTTGTGTGAAAAATGATGCCCTAACTATGTTGAAACTCTTAAAGAAATACATTTTCACGAGATTTGGAGCCTTGAGAGCTATTGTGAGTGATGGAGGAACTAATTTATGCAACAATCAATTTCAAGTTCTATTGAAGAAATATGGGGTGAAACGCAAGATAGTATTGGCTTATCATCCACAATTTAATGGCCAAACTGAAATTTCAAATAGAGAAATCAAGTCTATTCTAAAGAAGACTGTATGAGAGACTAAAAGGGATTGGTCATTGAAGCTAGATGATGCCTTGTTGGCCTATCGCACAGCATATAAAACTCTTATTAGCATGTTTCCCTACCAATTGGTATTTGAGAAAGCTTGTCATTTGCTTGTGGAATTGGAGCATAAAGCCGATTTGGCTGTGAAGATGAATTTTGACTCCAAAGCTACTGTTGAGAAAAGGCTTCTACAATTAAATAACCTTGAAGAATTTCGAATGCAAGCCTATGAGAGTTCAAAGCTCTATAAGGAGAAGACTAAGAGGTTGCATGATAAGAAAATCATTTTAAGAAAATTTGAAGCATGACAAAATGTTCTCTTCAACTCGAAGTTGAGGTTATTTATTGGGAAGTTGAAGTTTAGGTGGTTGAGTCCCTTTATGGTGGTTCAAGTATTCACTAATGAAGCTATTGAATTAGAAGTTAAGATGGTGAAAAATTCAAAGTGAATGGCCAAAGACTAAAACATTTGTAATAATCCAAGAATTTTAAGTAAAAAAAATTAAAATATATAATGATATGTTTTAATATTAATTTTACATTATATTAAAAAGGATTGATGGTCTAGTGTGAGTAGCATTGATAATTTATCTACATCAGGAAATGAGTTCGATTCTTGCTAATGCAAAAGGGAGGATTTTTATTTTGGTTTCAGTTTTGTGAAATTACCATAATGCCCTTCTTTTTAAAAATAAAGATAGAGCGCATCAGATTTTTTTCCATTCCTCTTCCATTTCACGTTTTGGAACACACCAGAAGAGAGAGAGAGAGAGAGAGAGCTCTCCAGAACCCTTGCCTCTAATCTTCATTTCTGGCGTGATCGCCGGCGTTCTTCATCCTACTTCGCGTGGCCATTTATTCATTATTGCTGAACGTTGCTCTGCTGTTCATCCGCACCATCAACTGTGAGTTCTTCGTCCCCTATTCATCCCCTGTTCGTGCGATGAGTTTTGCTTCTTGCTGGTTTGACGCTGCTATTTGGGTTGTGTGAGTGGCTGTGGGTTTACTGGTTTTTGCTCATTTTTGCTCAATCAACTCTTATTTTCGCTTTTGTTGTTACCGATTTGAGGGAGCTCGCAAATCCTCCATGTTCCTCCTCTGTTCATGTTCCAGTTCAATGATAAAGCTCTCCTTCATCTTTGTTGCCGTCGTTCGTGAGCCGATGTGGAGCTCATTCTTTCCTCTTCCTTGTTCGATGATAGGACCTGTTCTCTCTCCCCCTTGTTCTGACACTATTGTTCTGGTATGGGAGGATTGATTTTTTTTTTTCCTTCTTTCTTTGTGCTGGTCGTTTGGTGACTGAAATATGAAAGAAATTTGGAGTTTCATCTTAGTTACAGCTTTGATAGATGAGTTTTGCTTAAATCTATAATTTTCTAAAATTCAATGTAAAAGAGAGGCAAGATTGAATGGGGCAAATGATATCCTTTTTCTGATGTGGATTGATTATTGTACAAGGAATGAAAATTAGGGGGGTTTATTTAGTTCAAATACTCATTGGGAAACTTTTAGAGATGAAATTGAAAAGGAAGAAGTTTGGCTTGAGTTTAAGAAGTAGTGTAACAAAGGTGTTTGACAAAATTCCTGTTAGAAGAACTTTTACTTGATTTTGAAATTTTTGAAATTCTATTAGTTATGTTGACAAGCACGAGTGAGACAAATATTATTTAGTTGAGTTTTAACTTGAAGGTTGACAAGGAATTTAATTATAAAAGTAATGTGTAGATAATTGAATTCTTTAGAGTCATATGGTTGTTAAGAAATTGTTGAGTAAGAATTTGAATGTTAAAAGCTTTATTGTGGGATTTGAAAATAATGTACATTTGGTATTTTGACAAAAAGCTTAATAGGAGATTGCATTTTAAGGGAGTACGTATCTAGTTATGGCTAAAGTCATATGAGAAAGCTCTGTGTTATAAACTACGATGTTTGGGAAACTTTGAATTATTTGGATGGATTATGATGTGTTAATGTGAGAAGGATGTTTATTAAAGTTGTAGGGGGTCTACTTAAATCTTATTATATATCATAAGGGGATTGGAGAAGAGGAGAATTTGGTATCATGGTTTAAACAATAGTGCTTGTAAGGTATTTGGGAAAATGCGTTTTAGAAGAATCTGACCTATGATGGCAAGACACTTGTGATGGTTGTATTGTTGTTAGACAAAATATTATAATTTTTTTTTAATGAAAGTTGAGGCAGAAATTAGAGATTTGTGAAATAGGTATTTTGATTGAAAATCCATGAACTAGATTGCTATTGATATGTTAGTGTTTAGAATTTTTAAGGAATAACAATTGATGCAATGTTTGAGAAAATGTTAGAAAATAGAGAAATAAAATTTATTTATTTATTCTTTACCTTAAACAAATTTAAATTGTAAATTTTAGATTGTAAAGTTTATATAAAAAAATGACTATAGTATTATTTGGACAATAGGAATTTAAGGACCTTGAGCTTTTGCAAAAAGGGTCAATTTAGAAGTAAGTTATATGCTTGGAAATCTATTAGGTAAGTGGATAGCATCTCAGTTAATTTAGCAATAAAATTTTATTTCCAAAATTATTTTTTTTATCATTTAATAACAATTATATTATGTATTTAATATTTTGTTAATTAAATTATTTTTATGTTGGAAAATTTTAAAGAGAGGTTGAATGATATTGGAGTTATGGCTTGTGTATGTGTTTTTCCTTACGAATGATACTTTCAAAATTGATGAGATTACTTTTATCAACTTTAATTATTTTTGGATTAGTCAATAAATGCCAAACATGGATAGTAGTCATGAAATTTTATTTTTGCAAGTTTTTAATGCTCAAAGCTATTTAGAGTCGGTAATTTTGGCGGGCCAGGCTTATTCGGACTGGGCTCAATTCGGGCCGGGTTTATTCAAATCGGGTTTAAAGCATCCTACCCCTTCTAAAAAGTCCATATAGCCAAGTTCGGCTCTAACATCTTCGAGCTTCAGGCTTATTCAGGCTGGCCCGAATACCTGAAAATTTTTAAAAATATTTTTTCTTTATTTTTTTGAACCAATTTTAATTTTTAAATAATTTTATTAAGCGTAAAATATTATCTTAATTTTAAAAGAATAAAATTAAAAATAACTTATCAACTTTGTATTTAAGTAACTGTTATTATTTTATTGTATTATGTATAATTTATTTATGAATGTTTTCTTTACTTATAAATTAATGTCTTAGTTGTTTAAATATTGCTTTTATTATAGTCATATATAAATATTTTATATATTTTGATTAAATTATATTATTTTAATTATGATTAAGTTGATCTCAATTCAATCACAATTAGACTACTAATTTAAAATTATTATTTCGATTAATTTAAAGTTTTTAATAACTTTTAGGTAAATTGTACTTTTCATTTTTATGAATATAAAAAAAATTGCCATCATTATATGATATAAAAAAATTATTTAATTATGAGTAAAATATTATTTTTTTGAAATTATTTTTCTTTAACTTTTTATATTGTTTAACTCTTACATAAAAGGGATTCTTACTTTAGTTTACTCTTAATTTTTAACCAAATATAGCATGGATAATAATTAAGTAATTATTTAAGAATATTATTCTATTTATTATGTTTAACTAGTAGTAAAGTCGAGAATTCGTACATGTTTAAATTTTATTTTTAAAATTATTTTTAATTTTATTTTTACTTTAAAATTAATTATGTTAATTTATAAAAAATATAAAATTATTTTTTATATGCAAATGATTTATAGGACTCAAAATTTTTTTGACAAAAATTGGGTCTTAAAATATTAAAATCAATATTAAAATATATTTTAAATATTATTTTGAGATATTTTATTGATTAAAAATAATAAAAATATGAAATATAACTATTTTTAATTTTTTTAAAAAATAACTACATTAAAACACTTATACATATAGTATTTTGGTATAAAATGATATAAAACTTAAAAAATTAATTAATATTTATTATATTTTATATATTTTTTTAAAAATTTATTTTTTATTTGGGTATTCGGGCTAAGCCCGAACCCAATTAGGCTTGGCCCGAATTTCCTCGGGCCTAATAATATTTTTTTCGGGCTTGGCCCTAAATTTTTCGGGTGGGTTCTGGCTGGCCCGTCGGGCTTGGCCCAAATTATCGACTTTAAAGCTATTCATGCAAGTTTGACTTTGAAAATGAGAATTGTATTTGTATGTTGATGATTTTCTCGCATGTTTGAGAATAGATTTGAAGGAAATTTTATTTAGGACACTGGTTGCTAATGGCAGTCCCGTTAGCCCTTGGCGTGCCATGTTTAACGACTAGCTAGTTTGATTTTTGTGAGTTTTGTTCTCACGTTTGTTATTCGTGGGTCACTATCCACGTTTGTTTCATGGCTTAGCGCTTGGTTATTTATTGTCATGGACTGTGTGTCCACGTTTATTTTATGGCTTCGGCTGCATTTGATTATTTATTCTTGTGGACTTTGTATCCACATTTGTTTTCATGGTGTAAACTGCGTTTGGTTAGTTATTCTCATGAATTGTGTGTCCACGTTTGTGAATTGTTGTAATAAATCTCTAGAAATATGATTTTTTTTAAAACTAATTGATGATTTCCTATTTAATGATTTTCAATTAATAAATATTGTTATTCTTATTTATTATTTAATTATTTTGACTTATTAAGATCAAATGTTAAAAGTTGCTTTGTTATTATAGGTTTAAATATTCTTGTTATTGAAGTTGTTTAATTATATTTTTTGGTATTATTAATCTTCATTTACAAATTTTATTATATTGAATCACCTTATCTTTAATTTTCATAACTGTTGTCAATTATTAAATTTTATCTTGCAAAAGTTGATGGTTGGGACATTATTCACTGGAAAGTATTTTGGTCTCAGATAGCGTAGCTAGCGCTGTACGTCCTGCTTACCAATGATGGATTTTTGCTAAGCTGAGTAGAGATTTGTTATGTAAATATTTATTATTGATGTAAATATTTATTTATTAAGCCATGAAGAATGTGTTTAGGTACTCCACATATATTATAGTCAGAGTCATTATTTTATTATATATTTTGTTTGTTGGTTGGAAAAGGAGGAGAGGCCCTAACTATAGTGATTTCCGTTTGAGAATTTTATAGTAGAGTTTTTAGGGGTTCCTATTTACAAAAGGGGTTCTGCCCAAATATTTACAAAAATATTAAGACTTTTATTTGAAGGAAAAACATTAAGAATGTCCTAATTTTAATGCAAATATAATTACGATTTTAAAAATAAAAAATTTTATTTTCTTAAGGCTTAAGAGATGTGGGTTTGTACACATACATTGTGCCAGTCACTCTTATTATTCAGGACGTGACAACACTATTGGGGCGGTGAAGTGGATCGTCAAGCATGCACCATTCAATTATCTAATGCAACTTAAGAAAGTGAAGAGTTAGGCTAAAAGACTATAAATCAAGCGCTCTTGGAAGGTAACCCAAGCTCTTAAACTCGCTTTTTGTGTTTAGTTTGATTTTTCTGTGTCTTTAGTAGACTATGTTTGGTCTTGTGTTTTGTAGGTGAAGAAAAGTCCTCGAATTAAAAAAAATGTATGTTAAGGGTGTATGGAGAGGAATCAAGAAGTCTAGTGGAATTATGCATTTTCAGGGAAGTGATCTCACTCCAAGTCTATTTTGCTACTTAAACTTTACTTTAGATTTTAAATCTGATATTTGAGTTGTGAAAAAAAAGTTGGATATGATTTGCACTCATTGACTAGTATAAATCTGATATGAAATTGATCATTGGTTGAGTTATGTTTTCATTATGCATGTTTTGTTGGTATGAAGTTGGTTGTGGTGTGAATGTGATAAACTTGTGCATATCTAGTGTTGAGTGTTTTGGATTGATCTAGAGTGTTTTTGTGCAAAGAATTGACAACTGTAAATTTTCATGTAAGCTTGATCTTGATTCAAGAAATTTATTGTGAATTTGATTGAGTATCAATTTTGTTGAATGTTTTTGAATGGTTACTGATGGTCATTCAATGAAATTTTGGTGTGGAAGGGCATATTGAGTGGTGTTGGATTGCATTTTAGCATTGTGGGGATCCATTTTGGCTAAATTATCGATATGGGATTTGACAAAATTTTAGTTGCAGCCAAGAAAAATTTGGTTGCAGCAAAAGCTTTGGCCAAGAGCTCGTAGCTGTAGCCAAAGAATAATTTTGAATGTTGTTGTTGAAAGAAATTGTAACAAGTTAATTTGTATGATACTATTTTGATCAAGGGATTTTATAGTTTGCTTTGAACTTTCTTAAAACCTTCTAGTTGTTTAACTTGATTTTGAAAAATGATTAGGGCCATTTTTATATGTGTTTGAGCTTTTCAAGCTAACCTAAGTTGATTTTATCTTTTTGAACCTATAATTTGAGCCTAAAAAAACAATTTAATAAATTCTTTTGGCTATCCATATGAAATCCAAACCTTATAAACCTGAAAAATCATGAATTATCTTGGCTTTGAGATAAATGGATATTTGTGATAGCTGATTAGGGTTTGATGTGGTTGGCAAGTTACATTATTCTTAGTTGGGTATGGATTACGTGGAAGAAAATGTGGGGCTTTTGTAATTTAAGTTACTGTTGAAAAAAAAAAGAAATATATATACACGAAAAAAAGAAAAAGAAAAAAAAGTTGTGCATTTTGAATTCAATAAAGCTTGGTGTACAAGATCAATTGGGTTCAAATTTAGGGGAGGGTATATGTGTAGTTGAAGAAAATTCTGTTTGTTCAAGGAGGAAGAGCTTAAAGGCATTTATCTTAAAGTATTTAATTTATTCCTTGATCCTATTTTTTCAATTACCTTTAATCACATTACAAGCTTATAAAACCCCTTTGATTTTTGAATTTGATGAGATAACTTGTGGGTAGAGAGATTGGGAGAAATTGAGATGTAAAAATTTTATTAATTGAAATTGTTTTATACAAGTTGAATTGATGTTGTTGACTTTGGTAATTGCAAGATAAATATGTCTTGACTCTATTCACACACGCACTTCAAAATTGTTGAGAAGCTAGATTTAATTTTATGAATCATGCATTCATTGGTGTTCTACTTTCTTCATATTGGGAATACTTGCTTGGGCAATTGATGAGGACAAAATCATGAATGCTTGGTAGATGGATAATCTATTAAATTAGCTGTTTTATTTGTTGTTTTACTCGAGGATGAGTAAAAATCTAAGTTTGGAGGTGTGATAACCTATAGAAATTTATGTCATCTCAGTACATTTTCTTATAATTTCATATGTTTTTTGATGAAATTGTGTATACTTTGGGTACGTATAATAGGAAAATGTGCATATCTCATACTTGGGTTTAAATAAGAAAATCTTAGTGTAAATTATGTATAATTCTTATCTTGGTATAATTAATCTTGGATTCATAAAATTTCTTGCCTTAGGTTGTTGAAGCATTATTTGAGGAGTAAAGGAGTTATGAAATTATTACATCAAGAAAAAGTCAATACAAAGAGTGAAGAATCAAATGTTAGTTCAGGCATTTTTGGCCTCAGCGGAAAGCCAGAGATAGAATACTATTGACATGTTTTGGTTGTAGTCGAAGTCTTGACCGAGAGGTTTTGGCTGCAGCCGATGAAGAATTGACCGCGACCAAAAGCTTTTTACTGAAGCTGTGTTTTTGAATCAGACTTAAAGCTAGGGTTATATATGCGAACTTCTTGCACTTTGAAGGAGAGTTGCAATTGTGAGAGGTTTCTTGAGGCTTGCTCTACTAGGGTTTAGGGTTCTTGGAAGAGATTTGATTAATGATTGAAGATTTGGAAAGATTCAAGTAGGTTTCCTTCATTTTTTCTTTTTTTCTTCCTTTTTCTCTTCTTGTTTCTAATGTGGATGCTGTAGATTGTGACATTTATGGCTATTTTCTGAATATGAGTGGTTAGTTTTTTTGTTTTAAGATTATTTCAAACCTTTGTATGGATTAAGATTTGAATATTCCTCTCTTTTGATAGTTTATGACATATATGTGTTTATTTTATCCTATGCTTAACGCTTTTAAGTATTGATCACCATTTAGATTGTTCTGTTCACTTGAATTGTGCTTGAGAAAGCTAATTTAGGTGTAGAATTTGGATAAATAATGTTGGACTTAAAATTTATAAAGATAAATAAATGGTTTGTTGGTAAAATAGAGTTATTTTATTAACCTTTCATAATCTCATTAAGATTGGAGTCTAAAAATTATTTTCATTAATTATTTTTAAGAGATTGTAAAATTTTAATGTTTGTAAATATATTTGATTTTGATTTGAGAAAGCTTTTTTAAGTGAATTAAAATCTTAGACTAGTACTTATTTTCATTAAAAAAAAATTTATTTGAGAGGAATTAATTTAAGTTTTATGAAATGCAAAGGGGAGAGATAATCCTAAATCCTCATCTCTTGAAGTTAAGGTTTCAACAAGTTTTAATTGCTTTAAAACAATTTTAATTCAATTTTTATTACTTTTACACAAATTTACTTTTGATTTTGCTTCACTTATCTTAAAACTTAATAGTGAATTTTAACCTTCATTTACTTAAATTCTCATGGAAATAATAATTTTGAAATATTTTATATTTGTGACAACCCATATGCTTACAGTAACGCTTGACAGCGAATAGACATCATGAATCAAATTGTGGTGAACTAGGACCATGGTCACCTTCCCGTGGCCATCATCCTTGACGAATCAAACTAATACACTGTGGGCTCAACTGATGGAGATGTGGATCACAGCTCAAAACAAAGGCAGATATCTCACTAGAGAAGCAAAACGATCGAACGTCGACGAGCCTGCGTTAAATACATAGATCATAGAAAAATCAGCGGATACGTAGCTGGCTAATTGAAGCAATGAATCCAACTCTCATGCAACATTTCATTCGACTTCCCATAGCCAAAAAAGTCTGGGATGCACTTGCTTGAACCTTCTATGATGCATTGAATGAGATAATACTATTCACTGAACCAGAAAGCTTTCTCAACCCGCCAGAATGGACGTCCTCTTTTTTTTTACTATAATGAACTTGTAGCACTGTTTCAAGAGATCGACCATCGCTCCTGTGAACAAGCTACCTCTGTTGGTGGTGTCCTTTACGTTAACACGGCTATGACTCGCCTACGAGTTCATATATTTCTTGTCAGTCTTGATCCTGAATTTGATCAGGTCCGAGGGGAGATACTAAGAAAGGAGACTCAATTAGATCTCAAATGCTCGTACGCCTATGTATGTTGCGAAGCATAACAACATTAGACCATGAACGTCCCACGTCATTCTAGTGAAACTACTGTTTTATTAGCTAAACAACCTCAGCAGGGATTGCACCGTGGTTCCTCAAAGTCAAAGTCACGGAAAGGTGATTGACTTACATGTACTCATTGTGGTGAGACGGGTCACTCTAAGCAATACTACTATGAACTTGTTGGGCATCCTGATTGGTGGGACTTTACTAAGAAGCCACGGAGGAAGGTCAATGCTAATACTGTAAGTATACCCTTGGAGTAGAAGCGGCCACTTGAACCTGAACCACCTATTGCTAATGTAGTAAACTATGGTAAGATTTCCCTAGTCTCGAAATCTTCCTCCACTTCTTGGGTTATTGATTCAGGTGTCTCGGATCATATGACCATGGTATACTCGGCTCCTGTGGTGAGTACAGCAACAGGGGGAGCAGCATGAATTTAAAGGGCAGGGACAATGTTATCTTTCTCGTGATTTAGCTATGGACACAGTTTTACTAGTTCCCTCATTAGAGTATAATCTACTATCAGTAAGCCAAATTACCCTTACTCTTACATGTACAGTGACTTCTTGGCCTTTTTTGTGTGTTTCTGGACATCCTTACCAGAAAGATAATTGGCTGTGGTGTTAGGCAGGGTAATTTATATTATTTGAACATGAGTCTCCAGATACACCAGTGACAAACTCTATCCATTGCAAGAATATAGCAGAAGCGGATGTATGGCTTTGGTATAAACGCTTAGGTCATTTGTCTTTTGGGTATTTGAAACAGCTAAAACCTACTTTGTTTTTACACTTGAATAACTCCTCTTTGCATTGTGAGACCTGTACATATGCTAAGAGTCATCGTACGTCATTTATTCCTAGTCCAAATAAATGTACTGAACCTTTGATGGTAATTCATTCTGATGTTTGGGGGGTCCTGCAAAAGTATCTACCTTTTCTAATTCTCGTTACTTTGTGACTTTTATTGATGAATGTACTTATATGACTTGGGTATCCCTACTTTCTCATAAGAATGATTGTGTTTATAGCATTTCAAGATTTTTATAAAGTGGTGCAAACACAATTTGATAAGAAAATCAGTATTTGGAAAACCGACAATGGCACTTAATTTGTGAATTCTCAGCTACATGAATTTCTGTCTACCTATGGTATTCGATACCAAACCTCCTATGCTTACACCTTCCAACAAAATGGCTTGGTTGAATGTAAGAACAGATAACTTCTTGAGGTCATCCGAGCTTCTTTGTTTGGTACTAACATGCCATGAACATACTGGGGTGAAGTAGTCAGATCTACTACTTATCTCATTAACCAGATTCCATCTAGTGCTATTAACTTTCAAACCCCCTTCAAAAACTTCAAAGCCTTGTATGCATTCTACATGTCCTAAACCTTGAACCTCATGTGTTTGGTTGCCTTGCCTGTATCCGTATACCGAAAGCTCTTAAAGGGAAACTTGATCCTTGTGCCCAAAAGTGTGTCTTTATTGGCTACTTTGACTTCCAAAAGGGTTATAGATGTTACGACCCTCAAACCCATAAACTATATACCACTCTGGATGTCACCTTCACTGAGACGAAACCTTTTTACTCACCTCCCTCAACTTCTCTTCAGGGGGAGACTAATGTAAGGGAAGAGAAGTTGCAAGTAGAAATTGATGCTATAATAGGGTTGAGAAAACTAAAAGACCTAGAACAAAGACTCATGAAAGAAACAATGCATGATCACATTATAGAAAATACATTATTATTGCCACCATCACCTACACCACAAGCCCAAAATCTTCCTATGGATGTCTTGAATACACTTTTAAGTGCGTGCTTCTGACTCAAACATTGTTGAAGAAAATAACTATGTTGAGAATTATCTTGATCTAGAACCATGAGTTGATGAACTTTGTAATAACCAAAAAATTTTAATTTCAAAGAAGATAATCATAAAATAAAATAAAATCTATGGTAAGTTATTTCTATGGTACTTTTATTAATTTTGGAACAATTTTAATAAGAGATAGTGCTGGTCCAGTAGGAATTGAGCCAGTCTCTTATTATTCAGATCTTGAGTTCAGATCCCTCTCCCTCGAAAGGGAAATTTATTTTTTTATTCTGGCTTTATAGTATTACCATTTTACCCCTAACTCATTGGATATTTTATTCTCTCTCTTCACTTTCTTTGACCAAATGAGCTGCTGCTCTGTGTCTTTGTCGTTCTCCACCCCCTCTCTCTTCCTCTTCATCTCGTTGCTGTCATTGGTGAGCACAAGGGCTCTGCCTATTGCCGTTGAGTCTCGTCCTTTCCCATTTCTCTTTCTTTGATCTGTTACCGGTGCTTGAGTGGGAGAGGAACTGAAATTCTTGATCTCTTTCGCCTTCTCCTTCCTTCCTCCACTGCCTTCAACATCACCGGTGTGGTTGTGAGCCGGAACGCCATCAGCCGCTGCTGGAGATCCAATACATGATTTCTCCTACTCTCCTATTTTGTGACGCTCTCTGATCTCTGTTTGGCTGGCTGTTGTGCATGCGTGAGGATCTCTTTCTTCCTCTTCCTTGTTCGAGCAGCAGTATATCCTGTTAGTTTTCGTTATTATTGATCAAAGGTAAGGATTTTCAAATCTCTTTCACCCTCCTCGGTTCTGTATGTGTATATGTGTTAGAGAGATCGTTGCTGTAGTGATGAGGGGCTTTGAACTCTCTTTCTTGATGATCTTCTGTGATTAAGTGTGTGAGTTTATGATGGAAGTCACAAGAATTTTCTTCCCCTTTGTTACTGCTGCACGTGACCGTATATGTTGGGATATGGAGGAAAAGCTTGATTTAAATTGAAACTTGTAGTAATAAAAAGATGATGATGGTGCAGTTTGAATTTTAGTTAAATTTGATTTGATTATTGATGTTGATAAGATTTTTGGAAAAGTAAAATTGATATGGAAGATGTTGGTGTTAGTTGAAAGTTTCACACCCACAGGGTATTAGATGAAATTCCTGTGAGAAGAGTATGCTTAATTTTGGTGCTTCCCTGAAATTTTATTGATTATTGTAAGAAGTATATTTTGTATAGGTGTTGTTGGTCTAAAAATTTATCTTGAAAGTTGCAAAGAAAATTTAGTTGTGAAATTAGCTTTTAATTATGTGAATTCTTGAAAATGGATGGTTGTTGATAGATTATGTGAAAAGAGGTTTGAATATTACAAAGTTCTTGAGTGGATTGGGAAATTAGTTTTGTCCATGAAGAAATTTTTGTGAAAATCATGGTTCTAAAGTTTTAAATTCATAGTTATTATATAAATATACATGTGTGTGTATAAATAGAGGACGTGTTAATGTTAGAAGAGAGTTTTTGAGCATTGTTAGAAGTTTATTAAGGCCCTAATATATTTTATAGGAAGTTTGGAAGGAGAGGAGATCAATTAATGTGGTACGAAGAGGACCTTATACTTTGAAAAAACTTCAGGTAAGTGGATAGTGTCTTAACTAATTTTTCAATAAAGATTTCCTCTACTAAAATAGTACATTTTTTATACAAATTGTTTTAATAACAACAATGTGGTTATTGAATAGTTTGTTTATTAAACTTCTTTATTTTGTGAAATTGCTTTTACAGGTTTTGAAATTTTAATTAATAAATAAATACAAGTTTAGACTTTGATTATGAGATTTCATTCTATTAAATATTGGATTAATACAGAAAATAATTCATGCAAATTCGACTTTGAAAATGAAAACTTTATTTATTACTGATGATTTTCTTGCATGTTTGAAATGGGATTTGAAAGGGACTTATTATAGAGCACTGGTTGCTAGTGGTAGTTTCGTTAGCCTTTAACGCGTTATGGTTATGATTAGCTAATTCGACTTTTATGAGCATCTCACTCACATTTGATCTTCATGGGTTTAATACCCACATTTGATTTCGTGGCTTTGGGTCGCGCTTGGTTAGCATTACTTTCGTGGATTGTATGTTCACATTCATTTCGTAGCTCAAACTGCGTTTGATTACTTACTTTCGTGGACTGTGTGTTCACATTTATTTTCGTGGCATAAGCCACGTTTGGTTATTTACTTTCGTGGATTGTGTGTTCACGTTTGTTACTTGTTTTGATAAGTTTCTATAATTATGAGTTTTTAATTATTTAATGGATCTATTTTTCATTGATTTTGATTAATAACATATTTATAATTATTTAATGCAATCATTTACTTTATTGAAATTATATGATAATAACGTTTGATATAATACTTTAATGAATCAAGAATTTATTTAAAGTTACATAAAGTCCTTTTATGATGAAGTTTATTAAATATTTATTTGTGAAAATTGTTATTTCTAGCACATATAATCATGTTAAACTTTCTTTTTGTACATATTTAATGATTTATTGTTGGGATGTTATTCATTATAAATTTATTTTGGTCTCAAATTTATTATCTGATGCTGATCCTATTGTTGACTTCTGAGGGGCATGCAACTGTTCTGGGTGAAATTTTGTTTAGCACTATGTCCCTTTGATGTAAATATTTGAATTTATGTATTTTATGTTGGAAGTAAGATTAGATGCTCCGCGTGGCCTATGATTAGGATTCTATTTTGATATATGTTATCTACTGGTTGGAAGGAGTTGAGCTCCTGATTGATATTATATTTTGTGTAAGATAGAGTATTGTAGAATTTTTCAGAAAATGCTATTTATCGAGAAGGTTCTGTCGAAATTTCAATAAAAATATTGAAACTTTTATTATAATGATTTTTATTCAGTATGTTATAATTCTTAGGACAAATTCAACTATGTTTTAAAAAGAAAAAGATTTCTCAATTTAAAATTTAAAGGATGTATGATAAGGTTCACATTCTATGCCGGTAACTCTTTATTTTCAGGGCACGACAAACTTCCTCTAACTCATAATCTTGAGGCTGACCATGATAATGTTGAGAACGGTGAGCATAGAATATCTCAGCAAACTATGAAAGGAGTTCCAAAGAAGCGCTATGAACAAGAGTTGAAGGCAAAAGATAAGTATCCAATCTGTAACTATACCTCAACAATTAGAGGCATAGAAGGAAAAAAGGACTTGTATGGTGTTACTATTCCAACAAACATCCAAGAGGCGCTTGAGCATCCAAATTGGATGGAAGCCATGAATGAAGAACTAACGACTCTACAAAAGAACCAAACATGAGAGTTAGTTGATTTATCTAGAGGCAGGAAAACCGTAAGGTGTAAATGGGTATTGACACCTATTCAAAGTAGATGGAAGCTTGGATAGTTACAAAGTGCGATTGGTAGTTGAAGGATACACACATAAACATGCTGTGGATTATGATAAAACGTTCGCACCGGTAGCAAAAATAAGTACCATACAGATTCTACTGTCACTTGCAGTAAATAAAGAATGGCCACTACAACGGCTTGATGTAAAAAATGCATTCTTGAATGGAACCCTTGAAGAAGAAGTATACATGGATATGCTATCAGGTGCACTTTGCTTAACTTCATGTAAAAACAAAGTGTGCAAGCTAAAGCATTCACCGTATGGGCTTAAACAATCACCTCGTGCGTGGTTTGGAAAACTAACTTCTACAATGAATGAGTTGGGTTACTAACAAAGCAATGTAGATCATACTTTATTCATCAAGAAAAATGGAAGTTCAATAACCATTCTATTGGTATATGTAGACGATATGATAATAATAGAAAACAACCGGCTAGAGATTGAATAATTGAAGACGCAATTAATCTCCAAGTTCGAGATGAAGCACCTTGGAGAGCTCAAGTATTTTCTTGGAATCGAAGTGATACGCACCAAATATGGAATATCATTATGCAAGAAAAAGTATATACGGGACCTTCTCACTGAAACAAGCATGCTGGACTGTAAACCAATAGATAGTCCTATTGAGGTCAACCATAAACTTGGTATCTATGTTGATCAAACTCCAACAGATAAATGATTTTATCAAGGACTGGTGGGCAGATTAATTTATCAAACACACACTTGTCCAGATTTAGCATATGTAGTTGGAGTACTAAGTCAGTTTATGCATGAACCAAGTGATGACCAGTTAAGAGCGGCGATGAGAGTCCTTAGATATTTGAAGGGGACTGTAGGAAAAGGATTGTTCTTCGCTAAGAATGATCCTATCGCCATTGAAGGATACACAGATTCAGATTGGGCAAGAGATCAAACAACTCGAAGGGCCGATTCTGGTTATCTCATGTTTGTGGGAGGAAACTTAGTTACATGGAGAAGCAAGCGACAGAAGGTGGTGGCAAAATCAAGTGCTGAAGCCGAATACCGAGGAATGGCACATGGAGTGTGTGAATTGTTATGGATAAAAAGAATCCTACACGATCTGGGAGTTGAATATAAGGATCCAATTGATTTACCCTATGATAACAAGGTGGCAATAGAAATAGCCCATAATCCTGTTCAGCGTGACCGTACTAAACACGTTGAAGTTGATCGCCATTTTATCAAGGAGAATTTGGATGGAGGTGCCATCACATTTCCCTATGGCAGGTCACAAAAACAACAAGCAGAAATGACAAAGGCAGTACCTATGTGGAACTTTGAGAACACTATTCGCGAGTTGGGCCTGACAAATACACAAGCACTGACTTGAGGGGGAGTGTCAACGAGATACTCTCAGAATTGTTTAGATATTATAGGTAGTTAGAATATTATTTTGTATATGATATCTGATATAGAGAATATAGCGTAAGATAGCAAGCCGAAAGATTTTTTCTATTATTTCTTGATGTATATATGTAACCCTCATGAGTAAATAATACACTACAGAATTCTATTCTCTTCACTCTGACACCATTTAACCCTTTAATAATTAGGAACAATTGTGATTTGACTGATTTCCACCCACCAGGTACAAATTTTTTCCTAGGTCTCTCCTTGCTTATTGTGGTATGGATATTCTTATTTTGCTTTTGAAATATTAAAAAAAAAGATTTTATTCTATTCTTCAGTTTCAAGTGTTAATGTGACAAATATATATCTATATATTTGGGGTATCTAATTATAAATATAGGTCATGTTTCAAGTGTTGATCCGATTTTATTGTATTATAAATATAGTTCATCTTTGGAGTTATCTAATTATGTTATGTCTATAGCTGATGGCATTTTATGTCACGTTAGTGCTCTCGTGGACCACACCATTAAAACTGTCTCTACCTTCAAATTACTGATGTAATTAGCTTTGTTTTCTTGTAAAGTTTATTTCTCTCCTCAGGCCTGTTATGTTTGCCTGGTTGTATATTGCACCTGGCCCATTGATTAATGATTTTCCCTTTTCACTCAAAAAAAAATATCTATATATATATAGTCAAACATGTGATTATAATAGTAAATATTTTATATTTTCAGAATTTATTTTTATTAATTATTTACAAAAAATAGTAATTTAATTTTGTTTCAAAATTATCACCTTTAATTTTATTAGTGCCTAGTGGTTACATAATCTATAAAGTATTCAGAGTTGGGATGGCAAGGAGTCTCTCAGACAATTTGATTAAGGTATTGAGTGATGATTGATATGCTAATCATATGAAGCTCCATTGAAAATAAGTTCTTGTGAATAATTTTTTGACAAAAAAAAAAAAAACTTATCAACGAAGAAATTATATTATATTTTTTATGATTTATAAACAAATAATTATTGTCGGTGTTGTTGAAGTCATGTGCCCCTGTCACCTTGACTAGACGAGAAATCCCAGGCAGGTGATGATACATCGTTTGCAAAATTTTTAACACGATTAATAGATGTTTATACTTCATATACATTGTATTTTAAAAGATTATATTTATATCGGATTTTAATTTACGATATTTTTTGGATTTCTTATTTGAAACCACAATAATTCAAACAGACATGAAGTTCTTTTTTTATTCATCCGAATAATAAATGGGACATTATGAAATTATTTTTAATTATATAATTGAATGGCATTTTGGTGCCATTGCCAACACGTGAATCATGAATTCGTAAAGGAGGGTAAGGTGTCAATCTCAGAAGAGGAAACCGTAACTCTCTTATGTCAAGTTATAAGAAATGGAGAGAATGAGGTAATTTCTCCGGTGGTATGTATAAGTTATTTATATCTATCTTCTTGAAATTAAAAAGATAGAATTAAAATTATTGTTGTGCATGTTTGAAAAGGAGATTTTTTTTTTGAATGAATGAATGAGACGGAGGGAGGCGAACAGGAAAAGAGCTTTGAAGGAGTCAAATTTTTTTCTTTTCAGTTTTGTCATCTCAGGTTTTTAATTTATTGCTTCATGGAAGAAGAATACCAATGTTCTTAACCATTTAACTATCTCAAAACATTTGATTTTTGTCTATTACACACACACAAACCCCCCAAAGCCAATAATGGATCTAAAGCATATTGAATCTAACAAATTGACAATTCTCGCACTAACATTCATTGGGAGAGACGGCTGACATGAAGCAGCACAAAGAATTGGCGTGAGAGTGCTGAAGAACGAGTATGTATATATATCATCCTCTACTTTCGTTCATTTCTAAAGATATATCCGCCTTACTTAGCTATAGTTAGAAACAATTTAATTTGTGGGATAACAAACCAGTTATTAACTCAACAAGAACATAATTTAAGTAGTTTTTCTTGCTTTTGTTAATGCTTCTACAATTGCTGATTGCTTTTTAGAATTATTAAACTGATATATAGATGGAAGATAAAGTGATGGTTGACACTAAAAAACTGATACAAGATAGCAGAGATGGGTCGATTGCTCTACCGACATATTGTATCTACAGGGTGCCCCTTACAATCCATCGTCTAAATGAAAAGGCTTACACTCCAAAACTTATATCAGTTGGCCCCTTTCATCATGGTGAAGAGAGGTTGCAAGATATGGAAGAGCATAAGCAAATTTTCTTCAAAGCATTTACACAAAGAGCCAATTCAAGCTTGGAAGATTTAGTTTGTTTTGTAAAACATTCAGAGCCAAAAATTCATGGATTTTACTCTGAGAACATCAAACTTAGTGAAGGAGAACTTGTGAAACTGATATTAGTATATGCTGGTTTCATCATTTCGTTGAGCTCTTCATAAGGTAACCACGAGTTTGATGATCAGTTTCTTAATGATGCTAAGCTATCACAACTGTGGTAATTGGTTAATACTACAAGGAATGATTTGGTTTTACTTGAGAATCAACTTTCTTTGTTATTGAAGAGCTATTCGATATAGCCTTTTCTGTTGACCGTCGTGGTGACCTAGCTACCTTCATTTCTTAAGCTCTCATATGAGTTCTTTGGATGTTTTAACACCCAGACTTTAGAGCCTAATACTGATCTCAGGATAAAGCACTTTTCAGATCTTCTTAGACTATTTTACTTGCTAACAAAGCTACCCAAGAGGTAATCAATCGTGGAGGCCAGAGACTCTTTTGCTCTATATAGCAAGAATGAGTTACCAGAAGCAGGAGTATAGTTAAAGGTGAGCACAAGGAAGTGTTTACTAGACTTGAAGTTTTCCGGACATGCTCTTGAGATCCCACAAATTTTGGTGGAAGATACACCAAAAATGTTGTTTCATAATACGATAGCTGTGGAGCAATGCCATTATCCCTATGAATCTTACATTACTGACTATGTTGTGTTACAGGGTTGCCTAATCAACACTCATAAAGATGTGGATGTTCTCATTCACAAGAAAATAATGCGGACTACTACAAGTGACACAAATAATGTTGCTACACTAAATGGTCTCGGCATAAATGTAAGTTATTTGGGTTTAAATTCTAAATATACTGATATTTGCCGAAGGTTGAATGGATTTTGTGATGATCGGTGGCACAAGAAGAAGGCTACATTAAGATGTGATTATTGTCGTACACCATGGCAATTTGTCATCTCTATTGCTGGAATCATGCTTCTCCTTCTCTCTATTGTTCAAACCATATTTTCTATCCTCCAAGTAGTGAAAGGAGTAGATTCGAACCATGCATCATATGTACTGATATTTGAGTTTTCTATTGTTAAAGTTTGTTATGAATATTGTGAAAATTCTCAAACTTTCAATTTGAGAAACAATGTCATGTAATGTTTGTGTTAGAGTGTTTGAGCTAAATATGAAATGTCGCTCAAATAGATCATAAGGCTAGTTGGGTTAAGTAATTGAAACGTCAGGCTTAATATAAACAAAAAGGGTCAGCCCCGAAGCTCAATAAAGGTTACAACAAGTAAACAAGCTGAAATCCCGTTAGTTGCAAATATTAGACCATTGGCACGAAGACACAATCCTAAGTAATGCCGAAATCTACGCCTAAGTAGTTCGGTGAAACAGGCTAGTTATTAAAATGGAGAGACCGTGCCATAAGTTTCACGAGATTCTTGATTTTTCGGCAGAACGTGCTAAGTTCCAAGGAAAAGATTTCCGCCATTCTGACACTATAAATAGAAA